TGGTGGAGGGAGGAAAGGTGTGAGGATGATTACTAGTAGCAAGGAATGAAAATATTGTTTCATGTTGATTGGAGCAAGTGCTATGAAGTGTGAAGAGCAGAGTAGATAGTGACAAAAAGAGAAGTAGTTTGTCTTAGGAAACTATTTAGCTCAAGAAAAACCTTTCAAAAAATTCATCCACCAAAACAATGCCCAATTGGAGTTCTTCTTTGATGGGAAATATCAGGATTCTAATTGCTAAGACAGATTGAAGTGGGACCTTTCAAGTGACTGCTAAATATATGTTTAGGCAACAGGAAAGAGGTGTACAAGAATGAAGATAAATGAGACAATATTCTATAACGATTTCCCCCTGCTGCCATGGAACAAACCTAATACTAGTTCGTTCAGTGTGATATGTCTTTTTCTTTTTTCTTATGTAGGATGTTGGGGTTTCTTCATTTCATGACTGGGGAGATAATAATGGAGCAATCGAATATAGGTTCTCATCGAGTGAAGGTGAAGACAGTGATGGAGATATTTTACTACAGCCAATCACGGATGTTGATTTGCCTACCTCCAAGGAGCAGTTTTATTCTGCTGACGACTCTGTAACAACTCGCCAGCTAACAATGCTTGGCAGAGCGTACAAGAGAAAAAGGTAAATCTACTTGTACCAGTATAACTGGTACCTATATATCTTTATACCTGTTCAATGTGCCTTATACTTTGCTGCTATAAAATTATTGGACTGATGAACTTAAAGAAATGAAGATTGTCTGTTTAGAATTACTCTGGGGAGGTTGTTTTTGTTAATTTCTCCATTCTCTAAGTGCCTTTCAAACCCATATATGCAGGATAAAATATGGCATTCTAAACAACATAGGTCTCATAATGTTCTCGACGGTGCTTCTGTCTCTTGTGGATTGTTGTGCATGGAAAATTGTTAGATTGCCCCTGGCTCCACTTTACCTGATGCGTCCCTTTCTCATCTCCGCAGTGGCAGTGTCTTGTGTAGGTTATGTCTGTGTCCCTTTATTTCGTAGTTTGAAACTCCACTCTGTAATCAGGAAGGAGGGGCCTGCTCGGCACTCTAGTAAGAAGGGAACTGCTACAATGGGTGGATTGTATTTTATTCCAATTGGAGTAATTGTTGCTGAAATTATTGTTGGGTTTTCTTCTCTGGAAGTTCTTGGAGCTTCTGCAGCAACTTTAACTTTTGCAGCAATTGGATTACTTGATGATTTGATAAGTATGAGGAATAATAATGTTGGCTTATCCGCTCGATTTCGAATCATGTCGGAGGTGAGCCTTTTTTCCTTTTTTTTTGTACTTTCGGCAAATCATACTTTTGCTTCTTGTTTCTCTGGAGTTGACGGTACTCCTCTCTGGCACACAGGTAGCTGCTGGGACATTTTTCTCCTTTTGGCTGTATGCATCAGACATATCGTCACCCTACAGCATGTATACATTCTTGTAACTAATTTCATCAACCTTTTTATGATGGTAACTCACAAATCTATCTTATATTAACAACTAGTTTTTCTTATTCAGTACATCAACAAAATTTAAGTTCATGTTTTCTCAGTCTTCAAATTGATGTTTCTAAATGAACTGGATTCATCCCTAGTTTGGCTTTGGTCCTAACAAATTTGTATCCTGAATTTTCTAATTGGTCAATGCCGCATTTTGAATTTTGTAGCATTCCGTAATTGGATTAAAAACTCTCTAACTTAAGGTTGCGACTAACTCAGGGGGATATAAGAATGACAGGAGTTACCTAACCAAAAAAAAGGATGACAGGAATTACTGATCTTGATAACTTCCTAGCAGCATATACAAATGCTGGATGTTTTAGATACAACACTAATCTTCATTCTTTTTGATAGATCAGTTTCTTGCACATCTTCTGAATAATTACAGTTCGAGTGTTGAATACAAAAATAAGAACGAATATAGAATGCAAAGCCTATGAACCCTTGTTTGAATCTTAGAGTTCACTTGGATATTCTGCTACTGAAGATGCAAACATGCTTCCTGTAGGGTGTATATAGTGACAGAAACCTGTTCTTTCTCAGCTAGTTATTAAATCCAATGTGGTATATGCATAAAAAATGGTTCTGTATCGCTTAAGGTTCATATCTTCTGTGTGCATGCAGGAAAACAGTGGTTCCCCTACCCGCGCCTCTTGGGCTTATATGCCTTGGAAGACTCTATCCTTTTTTAACTTCGTTTTGCTTTGCTTCCATGGCTAATGGAATTAATCTTACTGATGGTCTCGACGGATTGGCTGGAGGAACAGCCACATTGGCATTCATTGCCATGTCTATTGCAGTGCTTCCTATATGTTCTGGTCAGTGTGTGAACTATTGATCCTTGTGGTGTTTATTGCAATTCAAGTGTACTGACTACATTGTCTTACTTAGTTCAATATTGTTCATGAAAATTTTTGTGATGAAAAAAGTTGATTTCATTTTAATTTCCTAGAGAAGCAGTGTCTTGAAACTTGCATTTTCTGAATGTTCATGATTCTTTCTGAGTATGGGTTTCTGCATCCAAAACAGAGCTTTCCATATTTGGAGCATCTATGGCAGGAGCCTGTGCAGGATTTCTTCTGCACAACCGGTACAGAGCATCAATTTTTATGGGTGATACAGGAGCTTTAGCCTTGGGGGGTGCACTGGCTTCTATGGCTGCTTGTACAGGGATGTTCTTTCCATTGTTCATTTCATCTGGTGTTTTTGTCCTGGAAGCACTATCAGTTATACTGCAGGTAACTTGTTAACTTTACCCATGGATAATTCTCTTTCTCAAAAATTCTGGATGATTATCAGTTTGTTTGCAAATATGATATTCTTAGAATTTCTCATTCTGGTATCTTTATCCTTTGCTTTGGTATGCGTTACTTGAGCCGAGGGTCTTTTGGAAACAACTGATCTACCCCCACGAGGTAGGGGTAAGGTCTGCATACACTGTATCCTCCGCTGACCCCACGCATGGGATTATACTGTGTATGTTGTTGTTGGTAACTTTATCCTCTCTGGATTTCTTGTTCGAAGTTTGCAATCTAGAGATGCTTCTATAGTCTACTTGTGTTAGTGTTTGAGAATTTGGAAGAGGAATTCATTGCTCTCTTTAGCCCCTTTCATTTTTATTTTGAACTTTTATTACTGTGGTCAGTTCCCCTTCCCTCTCTAGTCTCTATCAACCTACCTACCTAGCAATGCAACTTAGGCTTCTTACATTGGTTTCTCTTTCCCTTGCTTTCTCCTCATCGTCCATGTGTGTACTGCTCTTTAGAAATATAGTCATGGAGGGAATTAAGGAGAAACAAATGTGTTTTCCATAGTTTGAGAAGTTTGCATCACTCTACTTGAATTTGCTTCCTTATTGCTTTACGAATCTTTCACTGTGCAAATGTAATTAACTAATCAAGCTGGCTTCTCCACTCTCATAAGAAGGTTGCTTCGGATGGTCCTTGTTCTTGGACCTGAGATGAGGTTGAGTTTTTGCTGTTTCTATAAGCTTGGCATATATGTGAAAATGAAATTAATGTCTACTTCATATACAAACTCTGCACCTTGATTGTCCTCACCTATTACTTAACAATGTTGTATCGAATTATCTCCACTGATATGTTTGCACTTTTTAGATTCAACTGACACAGACTTACCTGTGTCTCAGGTTTCCTTCTTCAAGACAACAAAACATTTCCTAGGAAGTGGACACCGCTTGTTTCGAATGGCACCATTACATCACCACCTTGAATTATGTGGAGTAAAAGAACCTGTCATTGTTGCTGGTGCATATGTTTTTTCTAGCATTTTAGCCTTGACTGCTGGATATGTGGGACTGACTTCAGTATAAATTCAAGTCATGGAGCATATTGGGTCTGCTTTTGCTATTTCTTAGTACAGTACTGCATAGTTGACAAAGTTTAAGTCACTTCCTGCAAATTTTCTCTTTTGCCTTCAAACTTAGAGAATAGATTGAAGAAGCTATTTTTTTTTTCTTATAAAAAATATATGTAGTTATTTTGGTCGACCTCTGTAACTTAACTAGCATTGAATAAGTAGTTATTATCCAAATATTTGAGAATCTTAAAATTACCCTATTACTGGCTTCTTCGTATTGCCTGTCTCAAATTTGGATAAAGGAGGAGGATTATCGAGAATCAATAAGTAATGGTATTTCTACGACTGTTTTCAAATCCGAACCCCGTCCCAAGGCCCAAGTAAAAAGAAAATTGCTTCATTAATTTTAAACTTAATATATGAGTATAATATATTTTAAACATATAGTTCTAAGACATATATTTGATACATTTATAAATGTATCCAGAAACTCATTATGATTTTATTTTAAAAAACTTATAATTGATTTGATAAAATTCAACTCAATTTTTCAAACGACCATTAATATGTATTTGATGTATCAAAGATGTACATTGAATCTTATCATCTTAAACATGTTAGGTAAGATGTTTGAATGAATAAAAGTTACTCATCAAACATGAAAAAATAATATTCTCTTTTAAAAACAAACTGAAAGAAATATTTTATCTGTCCACTTTTAATTATCATGTTGTGTTTTTTAAAAGTCAATTTGACTAATTTTCAAAGTTAAATTAGATTACATTAATTCGATATTTTAAACAAAAAAATTGGATAATTCAAAAACTACACGAAAAGTACTATAAATTCAAATTTCTTGCATATCAATATGATGAAAAAGTACATCGTAAAATGTGACTACCGTTTGGCTCTAAAAAAGGAAATTAAGACAATTAAAAGTGGAAAGAGGTAGAAACTAGAAAGGATAGTTTTTGAAGAAATGGTGCAATTTGGATTTTTAAAAAAGACAATGATTCAATTAAACATTATCAGAAACATGTGGGGGTTGTTTTAGAAAATTTTAGTTTTTAAGTTTGATGCTGAAACCCTAAAGCTGTCTTGCTACATATAAAGCTGCAGCTGAACCAAATCGCCTTCTCTGAATTCAACCTCCTCCGAATTGAACACCGCCGTTTCAGCAGAAGTCTCATCAGCAACAACACCATGGTAATGAAATCTATCGAATACACTAGTTTTCCTTGAATATTGTGGATGAATTTGATGTTATTTGCTGCTGTATCTTTAGGATAGCTTCAATTCAATCCACGAGTTATTGTTCTGGATTTCTGATGAAAAGATTGTACCTTTCCTAGTGAAAATCTGGTTTTCCTCTGTTATTGTTTTGATCTTGCTTAAAGACATGGTCCCCATTGTTTAATCTCTTGCTTACAACATTTAGATATCAGTAGTTTAGGACAATGATCTTTGGAATTGGAACATACCCCAGTAGACTATCTTGATACTTCACTTCGAAAAGTGATGCAAATTGGCTTCATCACATTTTAGCCATAGATAATGGTTGGATAAAGTTTTGCTCTGTAAACCAAATTGTTGAAGCTTATGACTAGTAAATTAAAGAATTTGGACAAGCTGTAGTTGGTTTAGAAGTGATGAATGAACTCTATAAGTAAGCCTTGTTGAATTGAACCTTGTAACTTAGTCAGATTGCGTATTCAGGATTTTAAGTTTATGGGTAGAGGCCAAAATCCTTTTGGCTTAGTGGGTTCTTTATTGATTATTTATACATATTTAATTAACTTTTTTAACAGAGATTTAGAGTGTTCTGCTGAACAGTTAGCGTCTATGGTGGATCTGCGCTTAATTAGATTTAGTTTTTAAAAGGAAATTATTGTTTTGCTTTGTCAAATAATGAAGGAAAGAATGGTCAGTATTAAGCTTTCTATTGTTATCTATTTTGTTGTTATGCTGATGACTTGACCTTGCAGTCGAAGAGGAGAACTAGGGAGCCAAAGGAAGAGACCGTCACTCTTGGTCCTTCTGTGAGAGAGGGAGAGCTTGTTTTCGGTGTCGCTCACATTTTTGCATCATTCAATGACACTTTCATTGTATGTGGTAACCGATGGATCCATTATTCTTTATTGTCTCATTACGTTGTCTCAAGTAGTTACATACTTTGTTTTTGGACTGCAGCACGTGACTGATTTGTCTGGACGGGAAACAATGGTTCGTATTACTGGTAAGGACTATATCTTTTCACAGAGTAGGCTTATTTAAATTTGAATATCTTGGTACTTGGCTTATATGTTGAGGGGCTGATAAATTAAGGGATCAAATTTTACATAATCTGGCTTTTACTTGCCTTTAATTCATTTAGAGTTATGGCACGCAATTGTAAGCACTGTTCTGACAACAAAAAAGCATCTGAGTGACATCTTTGCCATGTATTTGATGTATACCTTAATGCTATCAAATAATATAAGAAAATACACGTGATTAATGTGATTGCACTGGATATGTTGTATACCTTAATTCTATCCTCACCAGACATGGCAGAAAGTCAAGTTTTGGGTTTCAATGGTTGGTAGGTTGCATTGGTTTCACTTATAATTACTTTCACATTTTAACCGAGAATTGTTTAATGATGGTGCATAATGTGATTACTATGTTATAGTAGTTGACATTTGTGATGTATTCTAGGTTTGGTGTTGGTTTTTGGCTTCTACTGCTGATCTCAAGCATTATGGGCCATAGTGCTTGTGTGATGTTTATTTTGTTTAGAAATTGAATAGATATAAACTTTTGTTACCTTTGGGATTATATCTCCGGTTATGTTGAACATCACAAGTGCAATAATAATTAGGAATCACATTCAAAGATAATAGGCTATGTCTATGTTGACTTTTAGTAGTTTCTGGATTATGAGCCTGTTATGATTGTAACTATTTGAGCTCTACTTCAAACTCTGTATAGCATTTCTAAACAATTCCAAAGCTCATCTATATTCCTGCTCTTTACCCTTGTCTTTGTTATTTATTGGGAAGAGGTGTAATGAATCTCTGCTGTCACCTGTTTCTAATAGGTGGGATGAAGGTCAAAGCTGATAGGGATGAATCTTCCCCATATGCTGCTATGCTTGCTGCACAAGATGTTTCTCAGAGATGCAAGGTTGTAGCTTATATTCAGTTCTTATTTTCCCTTACCATCTACCATCAGTTGAATAATGTGTTTCATTCTGCTCACTCTTTTGGATCTTGTCTTCTTGAGTACAGGAGCTTGGCATCAATGCACTTCACATCAAGCTTCGAGCCACTGGTGGAAACAAGACCAAAACACCTGGACCTGGTGCTCAGTCTGCTCTCAGGGCTCTTGCTCGTTCAGGAATGAAAATTGGTCGTATAGGTAATGTTTAGCTTTTGTGTATCAAAAGTGAGAATTATCTGTCCATTATGTTAGTAAAACCCTTGTGAGAAACACTTAATGTGAAGTGAAATTGTAGATGGATCACATAACTTTCTAAATTATCTTGCAGAGGACGTGACTCCAATTCCTACTGATAGCACTCGCAGAAAGGGTGGTAGGAGAGGAAGAAGGCTGTAAGCTTGCTGCTTTTGTCAAGAATCAAATGCGGGTTCTTGTTGAGAATGCTGCAGGTGTTAGTTTTGATATGGACTTGAATCGTATTCATCTACTATGTAGTTCTACTGATGTTGGCCTTGCCTATAAATTTTGCTTCTTTTTCGTGGTTAAATTTGTGAAACAATTAAGAGAAATATGAATTTTAGCCTTCTATCTATTAGCTGGTTGAGAATCTATATTCCATGGTTTTCCCGTCTTGTTGGTATGCTGATTGCACTTTGTATTAGATGGGAAGGGAGGGAAAATAAGGTGCCATTGTTGTGTTTTTTGTTTTCAAAAAAATATGTAGTACGTGTAAATTCATCTCCTTTGCTAACTAATTGTTCTACCTAACACTTGATTTATATTCCAACTGTCACTATAACACACACATTTCTTAATTTGCATTATGTACGCATTAAAAACCCAAAATTTTAGTGTGGGGGGCCAAAATTTGTGTCTCTATCCTCGCACAGGCCGTCCAAGAAACTTAGCCAACCTCCGTTTTCAATGAAATTTTTAGGTTATTTTTCACATGTCATGTTTGAGATTAACGCAAAAATCAAGTGTGACACCTTTAGTTACGGAGTCTAAATGAAAATTTGATAAGTTTATGACACTATAAATATTCAACCCGATTTCTATAAATACTCATGGTTTACAAAGCCAAACAGATTTAAGTAAAACACTTGAAACGAGAACACATTGGAGAACTAATGTATGTAAAAAAATAAACCAAATTTAACTATTTTTGACAAGGCACTTGGATTAACTCAAAAACGTTTAAAAAATGGAGTAATAATTTTAAAAAATGTTAAAATAAAATTAAAAAAGATGGGTAAAGTTAAGTAGGCGTTTGGCCATGCGATACCATATCACGATACGGTATCATGAGATGGAATCAACGTTTGGACATGCGATTTTACGTTGATTCCATCTCATGATACCATATTCTCCAAAAACCATGATATGGAATTATATGGTGATTCCATATCATGATTTGAGATATTTTAATACAATAATCGATCTATGAGTTTATATTTTGTTAAAACAACCCCACATTTATATCTTCTAACCATTTGTTTCATATGTAAATAAAATTTATAATCACATCATTACTTTTAAAATTGTTATTCTCACCGACATAAAATTTATTATTCTCACCAACATATAGTCACTTTAACTCACACCTCACGATTGTGAAACTTTTCAATATTCACTTGAAACAATTAACCGGTGTGTTAAAATAGTTGCCGAGGCAATTAGCAAGATGACACCAACATTTATACAACCAAAAAATATGACTGGTGTACATGCCAAAATTCGACATAATACTCGATTTTGGCCTTGGTTTAAGGTAAAATTTCAATCACATTAATAAATTTATTTTATGGCCTTAATAAGTGCACATTTATATTTTAT